TCTTGGTATCTTAAATTCGTACAAAAATTATTATCTATTACACTAGCAAGTCATAAACATTTAAGTTATTTAAAAAGCTTCAAAAATTTGATAATCTGCTTATGCATGTAGTTCATTGCTTAGAGTAATTATGCCACTGCCATCTTTAAATTACGCAACGGATCACATCTCTACTTCAGTTGCAATATATCTATTATGCACATATTCGCATAGGTGGCCAAATTAATTCAAATTTAGCGCCAGACTTGGTGATCACGCATTTGACAATTATTTGAGGGTATTTAAAAAGAAAAGAACATACATTTCAAACGTCGCGCATTCGAGTGAGTTTTAATTTGCCCCCAAAACCCACGAACCGTCTCCCACAAGGAACAAGAAGACTGGCTAAATACATTAAGATCTTCGTAATATATAAATATACACGACCGCTAGACATGTCTCAGAGCATCAATTGATGTCCCTGCCTCCCTATGACCGGGAGGTGCTAGAGTTTAGATCCCGTCATTGGCAGGATTTTGACACTAGATAGATAGCTACAAAGATCCGATTTCTGTCGCTGACGCGAGGAGACTTCTAGAGGCTGGCTGTTGTGATCGGCATTTTTCCGTGGGTTCTCCGGTCCATTCCAGGTGAATGCCGGAGCAGTACCATAACAAACGTGTCACGGGCCACGGGCCACGCGTGATCTTTCCTTGCCATTCCGTTCTATGTTACTCCTTACTTGCACACACACCTGCATTACACTACCACACAAGCCGGGAGACTCGGGAGCTTAGAGTTTGCCGTGGCTGGGGCTGTGCCCGTCTGGTGGGAAATACCTTGTTGAGAAAACCCCTGTAGCTTTCAGTAAGTCGTCGCCAGATCTCACCATCCAGAGGGAATGATTACTGCCATCTTCTTCGATAAAACACGCACTGCACTTACAGACTAATTACCTTAGCAATTGACACGCTCGGTTTTACTAATCAACATATCAACAAATATATAAACTTTCCAGCACGAAAAAAGAACAGTTGCAGTATACCAGATCCATGATACTCTAAAAAGTTCCCTTGTTACAGTATCATGGATCTGGTATACTGCAACTGTTCGTTTTTTCGTGTACGTGAACAATCAATGACTTCTTATCTTTTATAATAAAATAACCGTACTGAAATGCATCTTTTTTGAGATCCTTTTTTTATCCATACTTTCCACTTCAACCCAATTGATAATTACACAATACTGTGTTGAGAGACGACTGAATAACAATTTGGATGATTTATTGAGGTTACAGAGTGAATGTTGCTTGAAGTTAGTTTTGAGGCGTCCTCTAGTATTTCATTACGCATTATGATCTACTTATGCATCCAAAAGTACAAATTTACTAATTGATTTGTTGAGGTTTTCGTGGTTTTGATGGGTTTTAGGTAATATAATAATAATAATAATAATAATAATAATAATAATAATAATAGCCAGCCTTCGTGGCACAGACTTTCGCGGCAGCCGTCAAGGCTTAACAACCTTGTCTTACCAACAGATACAGCCGAAAAAATCAGATCCCCATAATGGCACGCTAATCTCTGAACCACGATAAATATGACTGGGCGTCGGAAGATAAGTGTATCTTGGTCGTAATGGTAAAGAGACCCAATGAGACTTGTCAAAATAAAGTCAGCCTGCCTATGACACAAGGGCTTGAGGTAGCAGCAACAAATTAAGCGTATAGTAAAGCTATTTGTTCGAATCTCTCGAAAAGCATGCAAGTCTTCTGGTATTTGCGATCACATTTCAATTTGTGGTAAATATTAATGGACGATTGGTCAAGTAACAACTTCTGTTAATTTTACGATGTTTGGAAATTGCATTTTTCTCTCATTAGGGGTTAATATTGCTGCATTTTGGATACATGAGTACATTTAAACACGCGTACCAGCATATGGCGATCGGGAACCACTCCCTAAATACAGCGACTCACTCTGGCTCCATGATTATATGACTCGTGGACATGATATGGAACAAAACGGCAATATACAAGTTCGCGGGATTAAACTCGATCGAAGCCGTGGATTTTTAAAGGCGAAAAAATCCTTCGTACGCCTTTCTGCGGAGGGGAAGTAAAGCCGTCTGTCCCATGTTAGTAGATTTACTGCATGTAAAAGATATTCAAGCCTAAATGCAGCCTCTGAGGTAAATTCAAATTGTATGTTTCATAGCCCAATAAACAACTTTCTCCGCTAGTTGGTGGAAGGAGCGTAGCGAAATTTGTCTGGTCAGGCGAAAAAGCAGGTCTCGTGGTCCGAGTCTCCTCAAGTAAAATAAGGTATCAATTTATTTCAATACAGTTCCGACACGTCGGCAAAATAATAGAAATTATTTGACCAATTACCCAGTAACGTTTCCCGTGAAAGGCATGTATGTTTTCAATTGTGTTTGTGACACGGAGGATATTCTCACACGGAGTCGATTCCCACGTGGATCATCTCTACATTTTCCAAAACACCGTTCTTTAACCGGTAATTGTGTGTAGCATATGTGCCTAGTCTGTTTGAGCAATTTCACTGGCTACTTACATCCTGTACAATGATATAAGCTATGTGAGAGAAGGGCCATCTTGAACATAGGTAAAGGAACGTTATGTGCCTAAATGGGAAAATAAATAACCATGATATTTGAGGAAGACGAGGGAGTCTCTCCTCTAGGAATTGTTCGCAGTGGATCTGTAGTTATCACCTGTAGTTACGCCTTATTTGAAGACATTTTATTAGAAAAGACGGAAAGGCAGAGCATCTGAGAAATTATGTGCAGTTGTAGCAAACTGGTTCAGGCGTTGTTGGGTAAAGAAACGTTTTCAATCAATGTCTGAAATATTCATAGGATTCAAATTGCAATAATACAGCGGTATTTCTCCTAATGTTAGAGACAATACAAAGAGGTATTGGTGCGTCACTATTTCTAGATCTGAACACTGTGTGAAGAATTGAAAATAACAGCAACTTATTACATTTCGATTACAATGATGCAACATTTAGTATCATTCAACACGATCAGAAATGATTGAAATTATTCTCTCTGAAACACGATCAGAAATGAACTTAACTCATGATCAGAAATGACTTTATTAAACGTCTCTTCAATACTTAGCAATATTAGGAGTTAAAAAGCAAGCAAGTTATCGCCAGTTCGTTATTACACTGAGAAGTGAAACTAGAAGCAGCTTCTTCGCCAAACCGCTCTCGTAAGCTAACAATCGGCGCAGTCTAATCCAGTGCTTGGGCTAAACGACCCGCTGCTCACAGATGAAGTAAGTTTTCTTCGTACATAAATAATCGTTCAGTCCTCCTGTTAGTGTAATTGTTCCACAATCTTCTGCGTTGTTATAGTCATCAGGTTGACCGGAATGCCAGCGCTCATATCCCAAGGATGAAAGAGGTTCTCCTGCGCAATGGACATCTGAATCAGCATATGTGGCGTCAGGTCAAGCGGGGTACATGCAGTTTGGGATCATATTTGGCTGAGTCAGCATGTTTTGTAATGGATGATTCGAGAAAAAAATGATCCACTTTCTATGTACTAATATTCTACAGTTATATAATTATGAAATTGTGTATATCTTTTTTCTTTTTGATCGATTTTTTAAATTCGTTTACTCAAATTCTACTTGACTAATAAATAGAGCCCGGAAAATCAGGCATTTATTTTACCTAAAATTGGTAGGCAAAAAGGCATTCATTATATAGACGTGCAAGGCATTTATTCTGGCTAAAGTAGGGAGCAAAGCATAGAACACATAAAAACACAAAAGTTATTAGTGTAAAACGTTAAGAATTAAATTATTTTTATTTTAACTCTAACATTTACATTGTCACGAACGAGGATAGATACTACCTTGGTTTTGTAATCTTGATCGCACTTGACCATCCGGTTAACGACTAAAAATTTATTTTACTCGCGACCGTGTCTCTACGAAATGCTATTGTGGCCTCCCTTTTAAACCTTGCAATGGTAGCAGCAAAAACGGAATTATAGATTTTGGTCTTCGCCCTTGTATAATTGCTAGAAGGGAAGAGAGAACAAGCAGAAACTGAAAAGGATATATCATGTACAGACAGCTCTGTGTTCAAAAGGAATCCGAAGCCATACACATTGGATGATATTTCTCGAGAGCGAAGAAGTCTATAAGCCTCAATGAAAAATATCAAAAATCTTCAATGGTATCATATTCCTCTCCCTTTTAGATTTTTAACACAACGTGACATTGGAACAGCCGCGTCCACAGGAAGACAAAACACGATCTTGCTTTCATGTTGTCCAGAATAGCAGGTATGCTTTCAACTTGATGGATATTAGTGCCAGGAGGAGAAAAGGGAAAATAATTATTAAAAAGATAAAAAAGACCACAAATAAGGAAGAAAAGGTACAAATAAAGCAAAATGTCTAAAAAGTGGGCAACAGGAGGTAAAATGGGCAACAGGAGGTAAAATGGGCAACAGGAGGTAAAATGGGCAACAGGAGGTAAAATGGACAACAGGAGGTAAAATGGGCAACAGGAGGTAAAATGGGCAACAGGAGGTAAAATGGGCAAACATAGGCTAAATTAAAATCTACTAAAACAACTCCAAAAGTACATTTGAATGCTTATTATTGTTAAGTGTTAAAATCGTAACATTTATAAAAAGACATCTTTTCATAAGTTTTCAGTTTTAAAAAGGCATTCTAACATCACTACCAACAAGATTTTCAACAAACTTAGAACATAGACTATAAGTATGTTTTACTTTTAATCCAGATCTGTAATTAGATTTCGTCGACCACCTATGATTTCGCAGAAATCTTTTATATTCTTTATTGAGTATACGATACTTCGTGAAGCACAACTAGTTCTTCTGTCTGTACATAAATAATGTAACTAATGTTTTCTCCTACAAATAAGTGATCACTGAAAACATCTTAACAATGGATAACTCTGCAACGGTCGTGACTAAAGTGTGCTGCAAGCTCAAAGTCCCCGTACATACCGAAAATAGTCTGGTAGCGCCCCTCGCGGTCCATGTCGTGGAAGCCCACCCAGTAGCAGGTGGGTTGGTCGCGCTCGGCGGCGATGAGCCGCGCCACGGCCTGGTCCTCGGCCGGCGACTCGATGAGCAGCAGGTGCGCGCCCTCCGCCTCGCACGCCGCCTTCGCCTCCGCCCACGTGGCGTTGCGCCGCCGGACGCCGTAGAAGCCCCCGGCGGCCGCCACGAACCCGGCGCCCGGCCCCGGCGGCGGCCCTGCGCCATTGCTCGCGTGAGAGGCGTCAGGGCGGGGTCTCCCCAACCGAGTATCTCCCATCAGCGGCACCGCTCGAGCCGAATCCCCCGACCGGTCTTCCGACATGTGTGCGAGTGTACTGCAGTGTACGTGTGAGGATTGGACAAGGAATAATGAGGATAGGTCCCGTGTGGTTCATGCCCAGTTTGCTAGGGCAATGAATCCGGGGGTGATCAGAAATCCCACGCAAAACTACTCATTAGAGCTGCCAGTTGCAAGACTTCTCCCCATACAGCGGCTGAATTCCGTCTAGTTATCTCACTAGAGAGCTAGTTGGAACTCCTGCGATCGTCGGGGCGCGAACAGCCCACTCTTTCAGAGACGCTGCAGTGATATCACCTGATTCCCTGAGACATTTGACAGGTGTAGCAGTTCGCCTACCCAATTAGCGGACAAGAACCTCATGAAGCGTATGGAGGAAATATCAACTGTGCACGGACTGAAATTTAAAGAGCACACTTTGAGACAGAATTTGAGTACAGTACTTTATTCTACATAGTAGGGCGAACAGGACCACAAAATGCAAGCACTGGTGCTAATCAAATTGATAAAAAATTAAACAAATTGGTCAAGAGTTAATATTTTTATGCATCAAATTATACAAAAGCTCATTATATATTTTCACATGGGTTAGTTATTAGAGGCGTTTCCTGAATGCTTGCTTTATAAAAATTGTGCACTATGGCAAAATGGCACACTTTGACAAAATGGCACACTATCTTTGTTTTCCTGACTGAAGTCTTAGATTTATGCAACTATGTGAAATATCGTGGAATTTGAGACAATTTTAGGGCCAAAACACACTCGTGATTTCTAGGACAATGGAAGGTATATGACGTATGGCTTTCGATAAAACACGATCATTACTGACCTAAGAAGGCATTACGAACGAAATTAAAATGTCGAGCCTATCAAGAATAATGATTCTTCAACTGCTTCAAATGCGACTAAACTGCGGCTTAGAAATCAACAAAAAGTGAGAGATTGGAATTTGGTTGTTCCCCTGAGACTAATTGAGTGTTAACGGCGCCAGGCTCCAAATTCATTCGGGATAAGAGCAGTATCTAACCAAGGCAACATGTGAACCAACCATAGACCATACCTTGAAGAGTAACGAGAACTGCGTCGTGGCGCGTACTCCCGCACATGGCGGTTGACGGCTGCACATCCAACTGCAGTCCTTCGATTCCGCGATCGGGCAGTTCGGAACTACGCTGAAGCAGTATCCTCGCCTCCCAGTGGCCGGAGGCGTTCCGGCTGGTGCCCACAGTCACGCTCGCTGCCACGCGCCGGCACTGCTGCGCGCGCACCAGCCCCCGCGCCGCCACGCACGCCAGCACCAGCGCCAGCGCCCATGCCTCGCGCCTTCTGCGCACACCAACAGGCCCCGCGCTCACGCTCCAGCGCTGGAACAATCCTTCGTTTAGCCCCCGCCCCGCCACGCACGCCAGCACCAGCGCCAGCGCCCACGCGCCTTCTGCGCACACCAACAACCCTGTGCTCACGCTCCAGCACTGGAACAATCTACCGTTTATCCCCCTGATGCACACTAAGTACTGCAGTTAGTACTTACTACTACCAGACGCACCTTTTTCGATAGCTGATTCCCGAATAATCGTAAGGTGCCATGTGCCCATGAATATTAATTGCGGACTTCAGCCAACTTCTGAAATCGTTCTCAAGAGATAACGGTTTTCTTCTATTTCAACGTGAGATCCGGCGCCCAGTCAGGTTTTCTCTCTCCACGTATCTCGCACATCGGGGCACCGCTCCAGACGGGACTCCACGCTCCAAGCTCCCAACTGGATTACGTCATGTGTGAAAGTGAAGGTTCGTAATGGAAGAGGCGGAGACGAGGATGAAGCCCATTTGTTGGGTGCTTCTGCGGTATTTACCTGGCATATTTCCAACAAATTTACTGGCGTGAATCTAATGTGAAGCAAAATGCATGAACATTGTAGGTTAGAAGAAAGCAGAAATCAAGTCTGCTAAGTCACGACATTTGATACACTCCGTAAAAAAACGTATACGTTCGATGTCAAACCCGAAAGCTCTTCGTTACCGGAAATTTACATGTATTATGCAATAGAAAACATTTATTATGAGCTACGAAATGTCAAATTGTGTATATGAACATACCTGTTAGACATGGAGAACGTAGAAAATCTAAATAATTTTCATCTGTTGTGAAATTCTCTTTTATAAACCTCTGTATCTCTTACACTCCGCTATATACTAAGTATCAAAGTTCCATTTATGAAAAATATGACGTTAAAATTGAGGTTTTCTTGAAACAGAAAATTAATCTCTCTTTTGACCCATAAAATATTATCCAGATAGTTTTATCATTCTGACAAGTAATCACAGTTATATTTGTGCAAGCAGATCTACAGCAAAGTGCTTGATGTTTCATCAAGCCACATTCACGCATCTCCGACACTGTTTTTACCTCCTCCGTTCAATTGTACAAATGCATTCAATCCATCGTAATTTTAGGATCCCTAGCACCCAGAAGTGACCAAGGATCAGATTTGGTATCTAAAATAGTATATTTAAAGAGCTGGTATTTTCGATATATTTTGTCATCTCTCATTAAGTAATTTAAACCGATTGTCACTGTTAATTGTGAATTTTACAAATTTTAAATTGTTCACACTCCTTCGTAAAACTACATTTATTGAAAATAGACTTGTTCTTCAGTTAAAGTTTGTTCTCCATAGAGATTATTTTAATTAATTTTACGTATGTATTTCTTAAATAATGGGTTTTTTGCGTAATTATGAAAGAAAAACGAGCAATTTCAAAATAACGTTTTCCAAAAGACTCCTATTTTTCCTTTAAACGTTTTGTGCGAATAGCACTAAATGCTCTCAAAAACATGACACTAGAGCCGTTTTGAGTTTTTTTTTAAATTTTAATATTAATATTTCGGGCCCTTTTGTTACAGTATTTCAGTTTTTAGTACAAGTGGTTCAGATAATATTCAATCGATAGTTTGATGAGGTTTCTCCGCTAGCACCCTAACAAACGCCACAGAGCGCGCGCGATCTTTCCTTCGTCTTCCTGGTCGCATCCTCACCCCTCATTCTTACACCCACATGCACTACTCTCGCCCAAGAGTCAAGAGCTTAGAGCTTGTTCCCGTTGGGGGAGGGGCGCCCCCTGGGCGGTGATACCTGGAGGGGGAAATCCCCGCAAGCGACGTGCGCCAGCCAGCGGGGGGCGACACCGCCACCTCCAGTGAGTGATGCTCCTTTCCAATGAAATTATGGATAGATTCCGACGAATAAGACAACCATGAGATTAATCCAATTAAATATTAAGAAAAACATACTTTTTACAAATATGTTCCAAAATAAAAGGCTGTAAATAACATAATTCACCATTAGAATAGTTTTTCTGCTCTAAAATTTATTTTCGATGAAAATATAAAAAAGAGAATATCCTATTTCATAATATTCCTTTGTGTGTAGGAGAACTCTTATGCGAATATTACATCACTTAGTGGCGCATGGTGCAGTTTCAAAACATGGATGCAATTCGATTCAATTGCTGTTAACTGGCCAGGTAGAATCTAACAAGGACGCATCTTTCAGACTTGTTTTGCACGTGCATCCGTCTCCACCAGTACCACCAAGAGAATGAACTGATCTTTGTCCCTGCCAATCGCCAGGATGTGTCAAGTTTGCACAACAGCTGTAGCATCGAACCAAAAGGAATATTTAGTACTCATTTATTACCCCAAACTTAAATTTATTACTGTTGCCGTTAATAAAACTGTGGTTGTGTTGGCGTGACGGACATGCTGGCACAACCAAATTTCAACCAGCTACGTATATTCTAAAACAGCACGGATTTTCTTGGGGTATTGTTTACCGCTAAGTAATATTATATGACAATTTGTCTTACACTTACACAACCATTTAAAAAATTCGTTTGCAACAAATCGTGAAAAATACATATATTTTTTTAAATTCAAATGTTTAAACAAAAACAGCTCTCTGCCATTGAATTCACTGTATTCTCGTTCTACATAATCGTACCAAGAATGTTAAATGCTTATTATTTAGCCTAAATAAAGTTGTTAGTTTATATTATCTTGAAAAAAAACGCAGCAGTAATTATAGCTTTCTCCTATCAGTGTGGCATAACGACAATTTGTTAGAAGCAACAATGGCCGCTAATTCGTATAAGAATCACATTTTGCCAATTAGCATTGTTTAAATCGCAAGTAAGGTAAAGTAAATGAGAAGATTTTTTTTCTGGAGTGGTATCCCAATAAAAATTCGACCATGAGTAAATGTAAATGAAATCGTCAGAGGAAAGATCAATTCCGTTTATGAAACTTCAATTATCACTAGCATTAGATGGTATTTAATAGTTAAATTTAATAATTAAATGTTACATTACTTCAAGCTGTATGCTTTTTTCTTACTTAAACCGTCAATAATACATTTTCCCACAAATTGTACAAGTATTGATGGGTTTTGAAAGAAATGTCATATGCACAAGTGTTTTAGTTTTGAACACCTTGTAAATACGCAGCTATTATGAAAATACGTCAGGGTCCATTTTTTAGACGTGAATCTTGATCCTTTTCCTAGAAATTGTACAAGTATTTAAGCCATAAGAATACACTTAAAAGGTAGACTTTATGCACAAGAGTATTCAGTTTTAATATTTTTGTGAACGTACAGTTATTTTGAAATTATCAGCTTCAAGGTGAGAGTCAGCTTTATTCACCATTCTCCTTTCTTACCCCACAGGTTTGTTTTTTGACGGAATTTGGTGGATATTTATCCCTCAGATGGCAGATTTTCTCAGGACAGAATTGGCAACCGTCGACATAGGTGTTTTTTAAGCCATGAAGTCGAAATTCTGCCAAGACCGTAGGTCGAGGACGAAAAGCAACTAAGACCATAAAAAACTATTACCTTCAGTAGAATGTAAGCTGTTGGAAAAAGTTCACAAAATATGAACATTTCTTCTACAAAAATATAAAAATTATAATATAAACATATACGTAAAAGTTCGTAATTTTATATTGCAATAATATACTTGATATCTCGGGGAAAGCAGTAGCTTATGGAGGGTTACTAAGAGATTCTTTGTAAAATTTCCATTAATGAAGTACTTTTTTCTCGCTAACAAGACAGTTGTTTCGGCAACCGTGTTTCTTAATTGATAAAAAGAATAGCCCTTTTCACGTACTGTTAAAACAGAATCTGCCTTTAATACAGAGTTATATAAGACGTTGTTATTTGTGACACAAATAGTAAATTTTGCATTTTCTTTTGCGTGTAGGAAATGTAACCCGAGGGTGACAAGACCAAGTGGCGCAATCTTACGAACAAAATAAAATCACGTTCACCACGTGCGCCATACACTGTTCTTTAGACAACCTTAATGGCTTTCATTACATTTTAATTCAAACATAAATATCAAATTTATGTTGTATTTAGTTCTTAGTTGTAGCCCATGCGATCACACGAAAGTATTTTGTTTTCATTGTCATATTCACAGTTCTATCTGAACATAATGAATAGTGTCTCACTTTTATCGCTAGTGCCAAAACTTGAACATTCAGCCCGCTTCCTTTACCTACAAGTAACTTCTTTTTGCAGAATGGTGTGTAAGAAAAATGAACATGTGTAACAAACACGGTATTTTATGTGGCGCAAAACCGCTGAATGACCCTCAAAATAGTGAAGAACATTTTCCTTCATGTTCTTTTAATTTAAATATTTTGAATTATCCACTTAATTGTTGAGTCATAAAATTAATAAAAATAAAATCTATTGAGAAACGCGATGGTCTTAATTGACTTACGTTTTGAGTTAATTGAGTCGTATAATTCATCAAAATAAAATCTAGCCGGTCCGGATGGCCAAGATTGCTAAGGCAGTACGTGGCGTAGCGATCTCGGACCGAAGGAAAGCATGGTTGTATTGTGTTCGTCATTTCACCCCCATCATCATATCGTGTCATCCTCATAGTTACCATACCGTTACTCGCAATAGTGGTGGCTAATGACCTAGAGTTCATGCGTCCTTAAATAACGAAAAAAAATCAAAAATAAAATCTGTTGAGATGCACTGTGGTCGGCTTAAGTTGAACTAAAGTGAACGAGGAGCGGTGACCGGCAAACTGCGGGAGCCATCTGGGGTCTCTGAACTAAGGTGAACGGCGAACGATGACCGGCGAGCCAAGAGAGCGAGCAGAGACCTCTCAACTAGGTGAACGACGACCGGCGAACTATGAATGACCGGTCACTTAAATGTCTTCCCATATCACACCGTTCCTTTTGGTAATAGTCCAATTGAACTGGTTCGTTTGCGATCGACTCATCCCTCGTTAATATCCATTTCGGAGGAAAGCGGCTGAACGGTTTAGTCTCAAGAGTTGTTCACAATGGACAGACAGACGTTTTGTCGTCAATCGACTTTTCGGTATCAAGGACCTGTAAAACATCAATTCTGGCTACAGAACGTGTTAGAGGATTTTTTCGAAATTAAGCAACTGGATTTATGCACATTTTCGTTATCAGAGCTCTGTAATAATTTTTTTCTGCCAAACATTTACCGTTTTTTCGCGCAACATTACTTCTCTTCTTAAGAAGTTCCTTCTTAAGCGCAAGAAAGAAAAATGAGCACAAACTATTCAAACTAATGCTAATAATTAGTACTCAGTTATTGCAAAATATATTGCAAAATAAAATTAATTACTCTTGCCGTTTATTGAATAAATGTTGTTTAAAACGGTATAGTTATTTAACCATGCTTCATTTTGAAGCTTGATAATAGATAGCTCAGACAGACACAGTCAAATGTAAGTGGATAATTAAATAACATTCAATACTAATTTATTAATAAAAAGATAAATTTATTACTGTTGCCCTTTATTAAATAAATATTGTTAAAAACTTAATGGTTTTTCAACCATACTAGATCTCCGAATATGATAATACAGAAAACGAACAGGCACAATAAAATAAAACCAAATAGATCATTTATCACATATTCAATATTAATGTAGTACCCTAAACAGATATTTATTACTGTAGCTGTTTATTAAATGAATATGGTTATCCAACCATGCCAGATATTAGAGTGTGAAATAGAGAGTACGAATATCAAATAAAACCAAATATATAATTAAATGCTCATTCAATTCTAATTTATTGTATTTTTTTCTTGAAAACATATTAAAGTATTTATTGAAACTTGTCATCTACGACGAGGTTATACTCTTATGAAATGTTCTTTAAGTAATATTTCTGTTCTATTATTAGGAAACCAAAACATTGATAAAATAAAGAAAAAGTGCTTTGAGGAGCGATATATGGCAGCTGAAATAAATGTAATAGGTCCGAATAGCTACCTCAGACCAAAGAAAATATAAAATGAGAACGAGAAAATCTGTGCCACTCTGTAGAATCACGTTCTTTTCTTCTTTTCATCAGCGTTTAGAATTTCTTATTTCTCTTTTCGTACTTCTTTGGGGACTCTCTTATTCTTATTTCTTAGTGTTTGAACATTTCTTTGATAAATCACTACTATTATTCAATTAGTACTTTCTCCGAGTATTGTTATCTGAATAGTTTTTATTGTTCAAGGAACACATTCTAAATTCATTTCGAACATTTTTGTTTTTTAGCTTTTAACTTTTCTATAAACCTCTTTTTTATAGTTTGTATGCCTGGATATACTTCAGAATTCACCAACGTATGTTAATAGTACTGTACCCATTAGAACTTTCTCTCTCCGCCTTTGTGTTACTCATATTACTCCACGTCATTTTAAGTGGTCTCATCCACTGTTATGGTCATTAGCTACTAATTAATTATACATAAAACATTTTTATTTATTTTCACAGATAACAATTCGGGTATTTCTAAATTTACATTATTTTCTTTATATAATGATTAAACACATTATTTCATTAAAATATTAAGACAATGAAATCTTCATTTTGACGCAAGTTATTCCCTATAAATATTGTAGGAAAGAAAATTAAACCATTGTGTTAATTGAGAAAATATCAAAGTACTACGTTCGTCAACTATTTCTGTGACGATGGGTTTTTTGTTGAGAGCTAGGTTTGAAAAATATTTTGGGTGAAATATTGATACCATGGTAATAAGTACTATTTTGGGTCATTGCAGTACATATATTTAGTGTTGCTAAGCAATTTATTGGTCATGTGCGCAAAAAAGGTGAATTTTACAGGGTGCGCCAGAGAAACTTACTTATTTGAAAGGTCAATAAAAACAAAAGTACTTCAGTTATTG